GATACGGAGTTTTGTTCTTGTTGCCCAGGCCAGAGTGCCATGGCACAGTCTCAGCTCACTACAACCTGCAACCTTTGCCTCTCAGATTCAAGTGATTCTCTTGCCTCAGCCTCTCAAGTAGCTGGGATTACAGGCATGAGCCACCACACTTGGCTAATTTTTGTTTTTTTGGTAGAGACAGGATTTCACCATGTTGGCTGCTGGTTTCAAACCCCTGACCTAAAGTGATCCACCTGCCTTGGCCTCCCAAAGTGCTGGGATTACAAGCGTGAGCCACTGTACCTGCCCCCCCCCACCCTTTCTTTTAAAATTTAAAGATAGGCCCTGCCAAGCAGTTTATAAGAAACCAAGCACACTCGTGAGCCTAAGGATTTTATTAATAAGGGCCCTCTGGTTAATTAACAGGCCTGGATCTCAGTACTGTGAAGGCCGGCAGGAACAGCTATACTTTGACTCTGGCCACAGATACTTTTCCTAAACTGTAGGATGCTGCACTGGGGTTTCTTTTCTGTAGCTTTTCCCTTGTCCTATGATTTCTGGGGGGACCACATGTATGAGGGTCAGAAAGGAAATCACCCAAAAAGAGGAGGGGTTTGCAGATGCCAAAGCAAGTGAGCTTGAGATGAATCTTGAGTTGATCACATCTTCAGGATATAGGAGTGGCTTGTGCTGGGCTGCCCATGGGGCCCTCTGCTCAGGCATGGCTGACTGGCATTTACCATTTTTATTTTTTCTCAGGATTCAGGAGCAGTTCCAGAAAAATCCCGACAGTTATAATGGTGCTGTCCGAGAGAACTATACCTGGTCACAGGACTATACTGACCTGGAGGTCAGGGTGCCAGTGCCCAAGCACGTGGTGAAGGGAAAGCAGGTAATGGCCTTGATGGTGGGGGTGGGCGGCTTCACCTACGCCGATCAGAACTGTTGTGGGAAAGACCCAGCATCCTTGAGGAAGTGTTGGGATCAGCTTTAGGATGTGAGGCATGTTCCTTCTCCTGCCCTAGGAATGAGCTGAGCATACCATTCTTGTTCCCCTCATTCTGTTCATGAGGTTCACCCAGCTGGTCCACAGAAATCTTCCTCTGGGGTTGGTGAGCCCTGTTTACACTCTGAGTAGCACTCAGCACTGAGATGTGCATGGAGCTGCCTGAGAGAGAAGCACACGCATCTGATGTCCTCACCTCTTTTATAAACAAATTCATAGACACTCTTGGGGTTCTCATTATAGATGACCAGCCTCTCAGTTTTCAAGGGAATACTCAAACATTTCCTTGATGAATTCTCCTTTTTCCTAAAGATTAAATCTGCCTTCAGTTTCCCTAAGAAAAGTCCATCTGTTACCCAGGCTGGAGTGCAGTGGCATGATCGTGGCTCACTATAGCCTTAAACTCCTGGGTTCAAGCTATTCTTCCACCTTAGCCTCCTGAGTAACTAGGACTTCAGGTGCTTGCTATCATGCCTGGTTAAGTTTTAAAAAAATTTTTGTACAGATAGGGTCCTGCTATCTTTCCCAGGCTGGTCTTGAACTCCCGGCCTCAAGTGATCCTGCCAGTTCAGCCTCCTCAGTAGCTGGAATTGCAGATGTGAGCCACCATTCCCAGTGGAAGTTCAATCTTTTAGTGGGAGAGAGATGCCTACTCAAGGAATCGTGATAAGAATAACATTATCATAGATTGTTGTAAATAGATAATTTCCACCTAAAAAAAATCTCAAGTAACAATGCAAAATGGGACATTACATAATTTAAATCCACAATATAAAAAAATTTTATGTATGTCAGAAACTGTATGCATATTTCCTTCTTTATGAGTACCTGCAACCTGTGAAGTAACTTCATTCTATTTTTTAAAATTTCTTTTTAAAAATTTTTATTTTACTTTAAAATAAAGTAGGGATATATGTGCTGAAAATGCAGGTTACATAGGTATACATGTGCCATGGCGGTTTGCTGCACCAGTCAATCTGTCATCTAGGTTTGAAGCCCCACATGCATTAGGTATTTGTCCTAATGCTCTCCCTCACCTTTCCCCCTACCCCCCAATGGGCCTGAGTGTGTGATGTTCCCCTCACTGTGTCCATGTGTTCTCATTGTTCAACTCCCACTTATGAGTGAGAATATGCGGTGTTTTGTTTTCTGTTTCTGTGTTAGTTTGCTTAGAATGATGGTTTCCAGCTTCATCCATGTCCCTGAGAAGGACATGAACTCATTCTTTTTTATAGCTGCGTAGTATTCCATGGTGTATATATGCCACATTGTCTTTATCCAGTCTATCATTGTTGGGCATTTGGGTTGGTTCCAAGACTTTGCTGTTGTAAATAGTGTTGCAGTAAACATATGTGTGCATGTGTCTTTATAGTAGAATGATTTATAATCCTTTGGGTATATACCCAGTAATGGGATTGCTGGGTCAAATGATATTTCTAGATCCTTGAGGAATCACCACACTGTCTTCCACAATGGTTGAACTAATTTACACTCCCACCAACTGTGTAAAAGCGTTCCTATTTTCTCCACATCCTCACCAGCATCTGTTGTTTCCTGACTTTTTAATGATGGTTATTCTAGCTGGTGTGAGATGGTATCTCATTGTGGTTTTTATTGCATTTCTCTAATGACCAGTGATGATGAACTTTTTTCATGTTTCTTGGCCACATAAATTGTCTTCTTTTGAGAAGTTTCTGTTCATATCCTTCACCCACTTTTTGATGGGGTTGTTTTTTTCTTGTAAATTTGTTTAAGTTACTTGTAGATTCTGGATATTAGACCTTTGTCAGGTAGATAGATTGCAAAAATTTTCACCCATTCTGCAGTTACCTGTTCACTCTGACAACAGTTTCTTTTACTGAGCAGAAGCTCTTTAGTTTAATTAGATTCCATTTGTCAACTTTGGGTTTTGCTGCCATTGCTTTTGGTGTTTTAGTCATGAAGTCTTTGCCCATGCCTATGTCCTGAATGGTATTGCCTTATTGCCTTGGTTTTCTTCTAGGGTTTTTATGGTTTTATGTTTTACGTTTAGGTTTTTAATCCATCTCTAGTTTAAATTTTTGTATAAGGTATAAGCAGGGGGCCCAGTTTCTGTTTTCTGCATATGGCTAGCCAGTTTTCCCACCACCATTTATTAAATAGGGAATCCTTTCCTCATTGCTTGCTTTTGTTAGGTTTGTCAAAGATAAGATGGTTGTAGATATGTGGTGTTATTTATGAGACCTCTGTTCTGTTTTATTGCTCTATATACCTGTTTTGGCACCAGTACTGTGCTGTTTTTGTTACTGTAAACTTGTAGTATAATTTGAAGTCAGGTAGCGTGATGCCTCCAGCTTTGTTCTTTTTGCTTATGATTGTCCTTTGGTTCCATATGAAATTAAAAAGAGTTTTTTTCTGGTTCTGTGAAGAAAGTCAGTGGTAACTTGATGGGAATAGTATTGCATCTATAAATTACTTTGGGCAATATGGCCATTTTCACGATATTGATTCTTCCTATCCATGAGCATGGAATTTTTTTCCCTTTGTTTGTGTCCTCTCTTATTACCTTGAACAGTGGTTTGTAGTTCTCCTTGAAGAGGTCCTTCATGTCCCTTGTAAGTTGTATTCCTAGGTATTTTATTTTCTTTGTAGCAGGTGTGAATGGGAGTTCGCTCAGGATCTGTCTCTCTGCTTGTATATTATTGGTGTATAGGAAGGCATGTGATTTTTGCACATCGATTTTGTATTCTGAGACTTTGCTGAAGTTGCTTAAAGTCTTAAAGAGTTTTTGGGCTGAGACATGGGGTTTTCTTTTTTTTTTTTTTTTTGAGACGGAGTTTCGCTCTTGTTACCCAGCTGGAGTGCAATGGCGCGATCTCGGCTCACCGCAACCTCCGCTTCCCGGGTTCAGGCAATTCTCCTGCCTCAGCCTCCTGAGTAGCTGGGATTACAGGCACGCGCCACCATGCCCAGCTAATTTTTTGTATTTTTAGTAGAGACGGGGTTTCAACATGTTGACCAGGATGGTCTCGATCTCTTGACCTCGTGATCCACCTGCCTCGGCCTCCCAAAGTGCTGGGATTACAGGCTTGAGCCACCGCGCCCGGCCTGGGGTTTTCTAAATATACAATCATGTCATCGGCAGAGACAATTTTACTTCCTCTCTTCCTATTTGAATACCCTTTATTTCTTTCTCTTGCTGATTGCCCTGGCCAGAACTTCCAATACTGTGTTGAATAGGAGTGGTGAGAGGGGCCTCCTTATCTTGTGCCAGTTTTCAAAAGGAATGCTTCCAGCTTTTGCCCATTCAGTATGATACTGGCTGTGGGTTTGTCATAAATAGCTCTTATTATTTTGAAATATATTCCATCAGTACCTAGTTTATTGAGAGTTTTTAGCGTGAAGCAGTGTTGAATTTTATTGAAGCCCTTTTCTGCATCTATTGAGATAATCATGTGGTTTTTGTCATTGGTTCTGTTTATGTGATGGATTACATTTATTGATTTGCATATGTTGAACCAGCCCATGAAGCCAACTTGATTGTGGTGGATAAGCTTTTTGATATGCTTCTGGATTTGGTTTGCCAGTATTTTATTGAGGATTTTCACTTCGATGGTCATCAGGGATATTGGCCTGAAATTTTCTTTTTTTGTTGTATCTCTGCCAGGTTCTGGAATCAGGATGATGCTGGCCTCATAAAATGAGTTAGGGAGGAGTCCCTCTTTTCCTATTGTTTGGAATAGTTTCAGAAGGAATGGTACCAGCTCCTCTTTGTACCTCTGGTAGAATTTGTGAATCGTCTGGTCCTGGGCTTATTTTTTATTATTTATTTATTTATTTGTTTTGAGATGGAGTCTTGCTCTGTTGCCAAGCTGGAGTGCAGTCGTGCAATCTTGGCTCACTGCAACCTCTGCCTCCTGGGTTCAAGCGATTCTTCCGCCTCAGCCTCCTGAGTAGCTGGGACCACAGGCATGTGCCACCATGCCCGGCTACTTTTTTTGTATTTTTAGTAGAGATGGGGTTTCACCATGTTGGCCAGGATAGTCTTGATCTCTTGACCTTGTGATCCACCTGCCTCGGCCTCCCAAAGTGCTGGGATTACAGGTGTGAGCCACTGTGCCTGGCCAGTCTTGGGCTTTTTTTGGTTGGTAGGCTATTAATTATTGCCTCAATTTCAGAGCTTGTTATTGGTCTATTCAGGGATTTGACTTCTTCCTGGATTAGTCTGGAAGGGTGTATATGTCCAGGAATTTATCCATTTCTTCTAGATTTTCTAGTTTATTTGCATAGAGGTGTTTATAGTATTCTCTGATGGTAGTTTTTACTTCTGTGGGATCAGTGGTGATATCTCCTTTATCATTTTTTGTTGTGTCTATTTGATTCTTCTCTCTTTGCTTCTTTATTATTCTGGCTGCTGGTCTATTTTGTTAATCTTTTCAAAAAACCAGTTCCTGGATTCGATTTTTTTTTTTTTTGAAGGTTTTTTTGTGTCTCACCTTCATTTCTGCTCTGATCTTAGTTGTTTCTTATCTTCTGCTAGCTTTTGAATTTGTTTGCTCTTGCTTCTCTAGTTCTTTTAATTGTGATGTTAGGGTGTTGATTTTAGATCTTTCCTGCTTATTGGTGTGTGCATTTAGTGCTATAAATTTCCCTCTTAACACTGCTTTAGCAGTGTCCCAGAAATTCTGGTATGTTGTTTCTTTGTTCTAATTGGTTTCAGAGAGCTTTGTTATTTCTGTCTTAATTTTGTTGTTTACCCAGTAGTCATTCAGGAGCAGATTGTTCAGTTTCCATGTAGTTGTGTGGTTTTGAGTGAGTTTCTTAATCCTGCATTCTAATTTGATTGCACTATAGTCTGAGAGACTAGTTGTTTTGATTTCCATTTTTTTTGCATTTGCTGAGGAGTG